CGGGTTTTGAGCTTTAAACAACGGGTAAAAAACGTCACTTTGTCCAACTCTGACATCTCTTGAACGTCTGTGCACACTCTGCGGAATTTCTCCACGTACTCGAGACAAGTCCCTGTACGAGCGCTGCTAAAGTGTGAACAAGCGATCCCGCAAGCGATCTTGGAGGTTATCAGGCTCGAATTCCTCACGCAGTGCTTGTTCGAAGTTGACAAGAGTCCTGAAGCCACCATTGACTCGTCACGAAGCCATTTCCTGGTACCAAGCCGCAGCCTGTCCTTGGAGGTTCGCCACAACCATCGCAAGACAGCGCGCTTCGACCACTTCGTTTTGCTCGTAGTTCAAGTTCTTTGCCATGAAAAAGGTCTTCACACGGTGAATGTACAGCCCAATGCTTTCATTAAGGTGCCCATGGTACGCAGGCATAGACAGTCCTTCTACTCGTCGTTCCGTGTCCCGTTGCAGTTCGACCGGTTGTTGGCTCGCTAGTTGGTTCATTGCATCCTGCAACTGTTGATGTAAAATCAACTGCTGCTCTTGATGCGCTTGCTGGTCCCTCATCATCTGTGTGTGCGTCTGTGCTTGAGCTTCTAGCAGCTGATTGATCAACTTCTGCCGCTGCTCCATCGCACCCATCATACGCACAAACACTTCCTCCCTCCATATTTTAGAAAAAAGAAGCACTTGATATAGGATTAGCAAAAACTTCGGTAAATTCTTCTTGTTCGCTGAGCTTCGGCTTCTTCTCTACAACCGGAACGGTTTTGGCAAAAATTGCACTGTTGATTTCTTCTGCCAAAACACTTGACGCAACTGCCAAATTAGTCTGGACTTCAACGATTTTGTCCAAAACGCACTTACAGACTGAACTGTTCATCCGAATACTTCCGACTGTCGCGTTAGGTCGGACGAGATCCCGCTTGAAACGCTCGTGGGCTTGCTGGGTTGCTTGGAGCTTCTCGATGAGGCTCGTTCTTATCGCGTCCAAATTCTCAACGCCAGGCTCGTCGAGATAATGGATGGTCTTAAACGAAACTAGGCGGTAAGGTACTTGATTAGCCTTTCGCTAAAGATCGTTTCGCTCGCGCTTGATTTCGCGTCCACTCGCAACTACTTCTTTCGCCGCCTTCTTGAGCTTCTTTTCCGCCGCACCTTGTTCTTGCCCATAAAATGGGGGTCCGATGACAATAAACTTCACACGCAACAAATGTCTTTATTAGCTGTCGACTCAACCTCTAATGACCCTGATGTGTAAGGAGAGTACCGTCGTAGTAACAGAGCACTTGAGCGATCACTAGCCGCCGTAAAAGGTCACAACTGAACCTTCGCCTGAGCTAGATAGAGTAACCTTACAACCTACGAGCTATGCCCCTGGGAGTAAGTCCTTGTTGTAGGAGTTGATAACGCAGAGGGGAATTGTAAACTGATTGATTGGCGTTATCTACAAGCATGCCTTCTCTGACTATACTACACCTTTTCCCGATCAAGTTGGCACTTTGTTCCAATCAAAGTGGTTTGAATAAAAAATATAAATTTTGACAAGTTGTGCCACGTGGATAAGTTCCAATCAAAATGGATTTTGTTCCAATCAAAGTGGTCAA